ATTTATTTATTTATTTATTTATTTATTCATTCATACAGCCGTTGCTAAATTGCCCTCCTCCTCTTTCTCCTGCTCATCATCATGACCGTCTTTGTCTCTTGCATCATAAACAATCTTCAATACGATACCGGACTAAAAATTTGAAGCGAACAGTCACACCTGAACAAACCTCTTCTGCATATGTGTTCATATATGTAAATGAAATTTACCTACCTACAAATTAGGTATTCAACACAACGAAACGAAAACAAGCGGCGTGCCTGTGCTTGTGAACTGCTGTTTGACATAAGGCTCACCTGGCAAGAACAACAAACTACACCTGCGTGCCATTTCCTTCAGGCCACAGGCCACGTGTCCTTCCACCTGATATCCCCAGTGCTCTGTGCACCGATATTACTGTTAAAACTCGAAGAGTATTGCTATTATTATTATGTTATGATAAAAAGCTAGCGACAAGAACCCATATTATGGAACATATGGCCATGGTTAGTCCTTTTGATTCCTGACACAAGCAATCTTCTGATCGCTGGCTCTTGACTCTTGACTTGACGCTCTGTGTTGGAGGATCACTTTGTAGACTTGGGCCTCACGGAACATCGACCTACAGGTAGCACACAGCCTTTAGACATCCAGCAGTAATCATTAAATTTTGCCAGGAATCAGAGAGAAGTGCCGCGCTGAGGGTGTTCTGGAACCATACCTGGCTGTAGAGTTCCTGCGCAGTGGTGCTTAGGCTCTTGAGCTCTACAATGGGGGTCGCTCGTCGCCCGAATTGGAGAACTAGCTGTTATAGTTGATTGTACGAATTGGCGCTGGTGGCCAACGAAAAGCATGCCACTGCTGCTGATCATGATCGTACAGTCGCCGCACTAATGTTTCGACATCGTGCCCTAATAATCACAAGACTCGCAGACATTATTCCCTTTACACAGGCTTGATTGGAGCTCGCCCGGCCAGACATTATCCCTAAATCCTCAACTCCAACCAAACATATATGGTCTCGGGTCCCGGGCTGCTGCCGTCCCCCACCTGGTCCGCCCCCTCCCAGGGCTGTCTGCGACAACAGTCACAGGGAGCCACCATCGTGACAGTCCCCGTTTTCGGAGGATGGGATGGACATCGCGATGTCAAACAGCCAATAGTCGCTGGGTGTTGGTGTCACATTCCCCCCCAAGTTTTCGGGCACACAAAGAAGCCGAGAGACCAGAATCCCAGCAACACCACAGAGGAGGAAGGGGGGGGGGGGCGGAGGGGGGGGGAAGGGTTAGGCCCGGCATCACATGTAAACCCAATGCCATGCAAACCCCACGCACCCAAAAACATAATCGCCCAGAACCCTCAAATATCTGCAAGCATATACGCTCGATGTGCATCGCATGTCCTCCTCCTCAGGGGCAAAGTGGCTCAGTACAGCCAGGACGCCCTCCCCTTGGATGCTTTGATTTACGCTTGGCTCTCAGGGCTTAAAAGCTTAACCTCAAAGGAAAGGATGGGGGCTACGTCTTGAGCACCTGGACCCAAACTCTACACTACTCTCCAAACACCAATGGGTCAGAAAGACATGCTTGAAGGATCATGGGCAATTGTAAGTCGGTCTGGTACAGGCGACGGAAGCAAAGAGTGAAAGCTGAGTGCTTATGTCCGATATTCCCAACAAAGTACGGTACGATGAGATACTGCAGCATGTCATGGTAGTTATATAGAGCCTTCCCGAATGCCGCTCCCGAACGCCAAGATGTATTGAGAAACATGGAAAGAGCTTTGAGGGAGAGCCCATGATCACTATGCCTTCTCGTGTTGATCAAAACAGCGGCCACTCGGACCCGTAATTCTCGCCTGGGTCGTGGATGCTGCGGGCACAGGATTATAAGTGTTTACTCGCCCGCGCTGCCACGGAAACTATTCCACGGATCTAAACGACCGTCAGGCCAGAAGCCCCTTCCTGAAATCCTGAAAGTCCACCTGGCTGATCATCCCAGTGGCGAAGACCGCTGAACATGAGAGGCGTGCTGAAAACGTTGGCGAAGCCCATGCCCAAGCGGGCTATGTTCGCAAGCATGTCGCTGTTGTCCTGATTTCCGGTTGGAGGGACGAAGGCGGAGCAAAGCGAGGCGGATTTCGCTGTTGAAAACCGCTACACTCGCGGCCGACACAACCTTCACTTTATGCCATTCCATGGCATCGGCACAACACTGCCAGCAAAGACCCATGGCGACCCAACGCTGAACAAGACCACATTTCATGGAGTTGACTTGTCGACTGCGCACAGTTGGAAAAACTTGCAAACTAAGCTTCGTAGTTGTTGAGAATGACACCCTCCGCGTGCTGCCCAAAGGTTGCGTACCCGAGCAGCATTGATGTTGCAAACCTCGGGAGTGTGACTGTTCATGTTGATCAGCAACTATCAAAGAACTATGGTGGGAAAATTCTTAGCTGCTAATGCAGCCCTTCCAAGCCCAAAGCCGTTCCAATCACCGGGCCTTCCGAACCCGACTTCACCCATCCCTGTGCTAACACCCTTTTGTAAGACACAGAACGCCCAAAGCCCTGAACCCCAAACCACCCTCGCAAAGCGGCAAGGTGGAGACCAGCGAGAAAGCGGCCAGCACACGAGAGCCGAAACGGACAGGCCGATGGTTTTTGTACCTCTTGAGCTGAGTTGGAGGGTTGACGGGGTCAGGGGTTTACAGTTTACAGGTTCGGTGGGTCCAGTTCATGGTTTGTAGTGTGAAGCTTTTCTGGGTGGGCCCGGGCATGGTAAGACAATGAGTTCCGTGTTTAGTCCTTGACGGCATGGGTTACTACGTGGAGTTTCTCAAGGGCTTGACTTGAAGGGCTTGGGTTTACATCTCCAGTGGGGTTTACGGTGTCAACGCTCGCTCTCAACACCAGGCAGGTACCCACGACAACCGACCAGTGGAGAACTGCAGGACGATTAACCTGTTCAAGCCCAGGACTTGACATCAGGTGGTTGAGATACATCTTGCTAATTCATTCCGGCCCCTATATAGGTTCAAGGCAACAAGCAACAAACGTTGCCGAGGCCGGCGCTCGCGATAGTACTTTGGACCGTTGTAGTGACCTTCAGATGGGTACTTCAGAAATCCAACAAGGACTGGAGTATACTGGAGTGATTAACTACTTGACAACCAGGTTTAAATTGAAAGCGCAAATAATGCAGTAGCCTTCGTTGGTGGTCTGGGGCCTTCACGTGATATGGCTTTCAAGCATGATCCTGAACCACGTACAATCCGCTGAAAGTTTGTCAGTGTGCAACCGCTGGCAATGCATGTAATACCTCAACACGCATCTCGACTAGACTTCTGCACAAACAGTCGTTGGCAGTCCACCACAGCCTTTCAGATTCCAACGACAAGTCGACGTAACATGCAGCAAAGACTGCCTACTCGGAACGCTGATACTGAGAAGAGGCTAACATCAAAGCACTAACAACTTGCAATGTTGCTCGTATTTAGCGATACTCTGCAACTTGCAGAGGAACTCGGAAGAGGCGGAAGTGCGCACTCCCCGTTCGAAGTTGGTTAAGAGTGTCGTGTCGTGGCGGGAGGAACACAGGACTTTTTCGGCGCGGTGCCAACCGATGAGCGGTGAAAGCATCCGGCGGGGACACCATAGATGCATTGCACTGAGAACGTTAGAAACCGATTCTGTCGGGATGAAGATTGTGGGTCCGATGTCTCGATCTCCACGCCGAGCTTACTCGTACCAAGTCAGGATCAGGTGTGCTTCTTTGTGGCAGCACCCGGCAAGAGACCATGGCACGGCATCTGATGGTTTAGGTTTAGGGATTTCCAACCGGCTTGGACACTCCAGTGTCGTGCTCCGAATCCGGACTGTCCAATTCTCTATCTGCGTGCATCGCCACACGGTCCCGGAAAGATAAGTGTGACATCCTACGTCCTGCTGTCTAACTTCGTGTTTTAGCTCATGAATCATGATTCGCGATATTGCCTCTTGGAAATTTATGAATGGTCTTAATTGGTATCTGAGTATGAAAGAAGGATCATCAGCACAGGCTATGGCAGCTCTCCCGCCGCCACGACTGGCACGAGCATCGAGACAGACTTTGCCTGCACAGAGAGCTCGAAGTGGGGGCATCCGAGCTTGCGGACGAAATGGAAGGAGTATAGGCAGTATACTGTGTAGCTAAAGTGCATCAGTTTCGGGCTGTCGCACAGGGCAACATGATCCCAAACTGCTTTCGATTACTCGAGTAAATGAGTTCAGCCCGGCAGTTGAACCCACTTGCCCCAAAAACTCTGCCAGAATCACGGCTTCATGATCAACCTTGGAGCACATCCGGGACCAGCTTTCATAAGGGTCCTGGAGCTTGGAGCTTGAGCCTCCTACTTAATTCCATCCAAGTCGATCCAGGCTTTCAGAAAGACCCAGATGGCCGGAACGGCCCTTCAGTCTTATGTTACTGGGACATCCCCCCTGGCCACAACCCACCCGAATGACCCGGAGCTCTGCGGATAATGACCATGCTCCTTCTATCGGACGCTACGCTGCATAAGCGGTCTGTAGTTGTTCAAACTGCTACGATTGGCCTTATAGCCATGAGAAATAAATACATGAGGTCATGACCTTATATTCGCGCTATGCCGATCCCAGCTAAGCCCGTGGCTTGTACCGTAGTAGGCACTATACAGGTGATCGCAGTTGTCACTTCCACTTCGGGCCTTGAGTGCCCTCCGCATTGCGCGTGCGGATAAGATCTCTGCGGCCACGACGGAGAGACATGCAACGATGGCACTTCCCATTCCGTAGTACCTCTGCTACACAGTCTTGTAATGATTACGGGAAGCGGTAGGTTTAGACTTCCTCTATAATTATCAAGACGGACTTTCTCAAAGGTGGGATCGGAGCCTTCCGGTGGAACACTCTTTCAGAAACGGGGTGGTGCGCAAGGTTGCATTTCTTCTCAAGGAGTAGTACGTCTCTCAGACTGCCTACTGTACCAAGCCGAAACACTTAACTTAGTTTTCCTTAAGAGAAGGAGAAGCACCGATTCAGCCACAAACCGCACTGCAACTGAATGAAGGCATGGAGGAGCAAGTACGTAATTACGGATATCTATGTGCATTCCTTGCAATGCAACAGCCAGATGCAAACAAGCAAGACCTATCCAGATCAAGTCCATCTCAGGATGACAAAGCCCCGTTTGAATGGAAACTCTTTAAACCAGGGTTTAACCGACAAACCCGTCTGCTTGGAAACACTTTAGATGTGCTACACGTTGTGTGCTTGTGCATAAGGCGTAAACGTTTCTATGCGCATTCCCACTCACACCTCTCTCCATGATCCCTGTCCCCTGTAAAGGCAACACACGCAGAGTCACACGCATTCGCACGCGCACACACACACACAGACGCACGGTTACACACGCACGCACAGGCTTTGTTGGCTAGGTGGATACTGACAACTGAAAGCTGGACACAGTGCCTGAGGATCTCCGCGCCTCGTTCTTCTGTGCGAACTCTAGATTGAACCTACATGTTACAAGACGTGCCAGGCCGTCAAAGTTCTTGAATGCAAGTGGCTCGATTGTGTGCAATGCGTGGTGGTCCACGTGAAGAATGCCAGAAGAAATCACGCACACGTGGCAAAGGATGTCGGCGACATCGCCCAGAACAGCCATGCAAAAAAAGGCAAGTGAGAGAGCACGTCGGGCCCTCCACTCCTCGAGCAGGCGATGCCAGTCATGTTCAGCCAGATGTATGACGAAGAGCATGCCCACGAAAGGGACAATGACACGTAAAGCCTTCAAGGTATGCATGGCTGCATGTTCTCCCATCCTCAGAGTCTCGCCAATAGTTCTTCCCAAGATGTGTCTCAAAGCTCCCGCCCCGGCCCGCTCCAAGGCTAGTTCCGCTCCTCTTTCTGCAAGCCTTTCGGCACCCCTTTCAGCCAGCCTCTCGGCACCACGCTCTGCCAGCCGCTCCATGCCGCGCTCAGCTAGCCGCTCCGCGCCCCTTTCCGCGAGGCGCTCTGCACCCCGCTCGGCAAGTCGCTCCACACCCCTCTCAGCAAGACGCTCGCCAACTCGCTCGCCCATGCTCTCAGTAATGCGCTCGGTCATGCGCTCCACCACGCGCTCCGCGGCGCTGAAGGCCGTCTTCTCAATCCAGCGGTGTTCAAGCTGATGCTTGGCAGTATGGAACTCATCATCGTGGGAGCGTCCGTGTTGCTCGCCATGTGACTCTGAAGGCAGGCTCCGAGGTTCGGCAAGGGACGGTGCCAAACATTCAACTTGATCATGAAAGGTTTGCAAGGTGTTGTAGCAAACTCCCGGCTGCGACTTGAGTTCTGTGGCTGCCCTTCGAACTGCACATGCTTCTGCGTCGTTCTCAGCGATCCGCAAAGCAGCCTCATAGGCCGTGAGCCATGCAGCCTCACAAATCGACAGCTCAGCTGAAGCCTTCTGCACCTCCGCTGCGGCCTTACGCATGTCGGACACAGCCCGTGCCAGTGCAGCTTCTCGCTGTGGCAGAATGGCGAAAAGGGAGGTGTTCTTACTCGAGTGCGCTGGCACGGCCATGGAGTCCATCAGCAGCACGAGACCTTGGACGGCGGAGTCTGTTGGCTGACCTGCGAGAGCCTTACAAGGTGATCAGCACCTGCGGCTGCAGGTCTTTGAACAAGCTAGCATGCAGCGGGGACCTTCCCACACGTGTCTGTCTGTGAGGTGTATCAAGCCAGACTCGGCTGCAGGTCAGGTATTCATGCTTCACGAATGGCATTACCCTGCCGCAACACATGTGCTTCCGGGCAACCCGTAGAACTGCGACAAATGCTCGCACCTATGTTTCTCAATGATGGCAGTGACCCATCAGAAAATGTAACAGGCTATAGTAGCAGGGCGCGCCTGTAGGGTTCAGTGTTCCATGCGTCCACATTTCGAAGGTTTTGAAGAAGCCTTCTGTTACTTGAAGCTGCATGGTCCTATGCTCCTTCAAGTCGAACTTCCCAGAACTTTGGTCTTGGGCTTGAGGCCCTAAGAAAGGGCAAAAGAGTGCCAGCCATGATAGTGCCGCAATGGATTGGAGCATGGCCGAGTCTCCCTGCTGATTGCTGCTGATGTTGCTGCGAGGACGACGATAACTACCAGCACTATGAAAACGACCACGACGAGGGAACTCCGAAACATGCTGCAGCCCCCGGCAAAGGAAGGCCACGGCCAAGTTGTCCACCAAGATAAGCGTGGAGAAGCCAATGTTTCCCACCTGAGCCATCAGTTAAACACCTTCATTTTGCAAATGATGCGACCTTTCTCTGTACAAAGACTTGCCTATATGCATCTGCCTCTTGCGCATATGCTGATTCTTCTGTTCCGAGGATAGCCGCCGAACCTGGAATCTATCACGCACTCATGGGACCCTGTACATTCTCCTTCGGGGTCTTTAGCGGACGTCCTTAACGCGAAGTTTCGGGATGCTCGTTAGACCTCATGCCTGTGCTGATGCTAACATAGCAGTGGCTGGAACATCACAGTTGAAACCGAACAGGACTCGATTCTGCAATCCCACAAGTCCAAAGATGAAGCCTCACTCTCCGAGCTGCGGCTCCAACTCCCCAGATACTCCCTGAGACTCAGAAACAGCTAACTATAACCCAGGCATATAAGAAGAAATAATTTACCAGGACAAAGGAGGCCCCTCAGCCTCGCTCATCATTCATGCAACCAATCTAGGCTTATGGCTAATACCCATGTCAATCTAAAGTCCAAGTTAGCATACCTCAGCCATGAAAGACGAAGTCGGCATACCTGAAGAGCTTGATGTCTCAGCGTGGGCACCTTATGATTCACCGGCACATCGCTGAGTACCCAGCATGCCCTCGTGGTGCAGGGAATCCATGGTACTGCCCACCTCTGGGCAGGAGAGCTCCGAAGCCTACATAACACGAGGGCCTGCAGGTTACATTGATGTGGCAGCACGGACATGAAACACTACGCGATAGCAAGAACCTGATCGTAGCAAGCACACCAACAGAGCTCCCACATCCGACTGCATAGTAGATGTCCTTAGAGTGTTTATGCTCAGGTAACTTTCCGATGGTTACACTTACACTATTCTTCTCCAAGAATCACGACTAAACACTCAGTGTTCTGCGGTCTCGTGCTTCCGCTCGTTACCCTCAGCAACGACTTGAACGGGAAGCACCTGGAAGATATGAGCCATCGACGTAACGGATAATCATCCTTGGGACGACATTGAGCTTTGCGGAGGGTTGACAGCATGGGGGGGGGAGCTTGAACCATCTAAGGTTCCTCGGCTCAGGGGACGGGGGGAGTGTCACCTAGGAACATGGAGCTTCCCACAAAACGGCATATCCCTTACACCGAACTCGTCCATCCTTGTGGAGCTTGGGCCCTAGAATAGACAAGGATCGAAGCCTCAGCCTCAATGGAGATTCAAAGCACGAGCAGAATGCAAGCACATGCGAGAGGGAACTACGGCAAGCCATCAGAAAGCTGAATGCAGAAACCCACCTCAGGCAGGGGAGACACAGGCCGCTTAAAGTCGCTTAACCATCAACCTTACCGCCCATGAGCTTCGGCTGGGAGGGTAAATCTGAACTGAAACGAACCCTGTGACAATAATTCTGATGAGACCATCACCGCCACAATCATGACCGCTTTAAAACAACAATCATGAGAAGTCTTGCCGCAGTCATGACCCGACTCCAAAGGCCAAAACACAGCCAAAGCGGGAACCCAAAACACTAAACCCCCTCAATCCGCAAAGCCCACCTCCTAGATCCTTATAAGCCTGTTCATGAATCCGACCCCTGCTGCCCAAGGCAAGAGTCATGATGATCATCCAGAACCTCGGCTCCGGTTTAGGGTTTAGGGTTTCGACCCTCACTCTCGCACAAAGCCGGTAAGGATCCACAGTTAGGGTTTAGGGTTTCGACTCACACNNGCTACATGTACATACCTGCATATCGATAGGCTGACTAGCCCGAAATTTGGGGTTTAGGGGTTTGGGATGTAGGGCTTACGGGTTTAAAAGTTCAGGGTTTAAGGGTTTGCGTCGGACTTGAGATGCAGGGAATTCCGGAACCAGTGGTACGAGTCAAGGTTCCCGGATCTTCCTGACAACAAAGTGAAGGGAACAGTTTGGGGGGGTCCCTTATTACAATTACAGTATAGTGTACCCTCAAACCTTTTTGTGAGGGATCATGGAGCCCGGAGAAGCCAGCATATTCTGGTAGGTTCCCTAAAGTCTCTGGTAAGCTCCCTAAGCTCCTAAGTGTTATATACCCGTGGGCCACCTCGTGAATTGGCTCGGCCAAGGACCAGTGGTGTCATTTACAACTTGCTCTCAGAACGCGGTTCTTGGAGTCAGGCAAACCTTGCGAAAGCAAACATGGGTTTCGGCACTTCGCGAAGCGGCCCAGGTTTGGTGTTGAAACAAAATGATGTCAAGTGCCCAGGCTGATGCAAGGAGGAATGCAAAGGAATGCGAAGAAGCTTCCGGATTTTTCGGTGAGAAGCTAGGCTTCGGATTATCAGAGTTTACGCGGCAGTCGCAACGAGCAACGACAAGCTTTGGCCACTGTGCGTTATGCTCCAATCGCATGACAGCAAAAAGTCAAGGAATCCAAGGAGCACCGCTAACAGCGCCAAAAATGACGTCGGAGCCAAGGCAGAGAGGTCTTTCCTGACAATAGTTCTGATTTCGAGCGCCGGCTTCGGTCTATACTGGCCGTTGCAATTTTACGACGTGGGAGAAGCCAGATACTCTCCCTGCTTCCATGACGAGTGTACTCCAAAATGCCGCTGAGGCACAGCATACAAAGCGGGAGCAAAGGGAAAACCTGAGCCGGCAATTCTGAAAAGAGTGATAACTTAATAACCTGACACGCCTGGGCTTTGCTGTACAACCACAAATCGGAATGATGAACATTACACTTACAGCATTTTTGGATGGTAGTACTACTACGAGTAGAAATATAGCAACGCGATGCTGCATCTGGAATTAGAGGGTTGGGGGATGGGGATGAGACGAGTCTAACACGCATCTGCATATGTGACCAGACCAGGGAGCCCGAACTCCAAACCTTTAACCACAAGACAATAACGACAATGATAAGGAGAATAGTAATCATAATAAAACATATAATTCTAGTAACCATTATCTTCTCAAAGAATATTACGCATATTAACGCTAATAGTAATCCTAACATATAATACTCATGATAGGTATAATAAAGTACCAATAACCCAAACACTTTAGCTTTGGCCAGAAGACGGCCAAGATGGCGATGCACGAGGAGCGACTGAGGAAAGAGATCCCAAATCCTCACAGATCAGGACGTTGGGATTCGGGCTTTCAGGATTTGGGGGTGGGTTTTGTTGCAGGGTCAAACTCCGGCTCAGGATGCGGCTTTCGGGCCTGTGGGGTTGAGTCTACTGTAAGGCCTCAAAGCCGCGGCGACAGTTGCAAGACGAAGTGTCTGGAAGGAAGAAAGCCTTACAAAGCAGACATCATTATGCGCAAGACCTCGCAAAGATGAGCCGTTGATTCAGGTGTGCGATATGCTTCTGCTTCCCTTACAGCCAATCAACCCGCCTGGCAGGCACATGGAGATCAAGTCACCGACCATGCAAACGTAGGCCTCTGCTGCCATCATGTAGAATGATGCCCTTTTCTCCTTTCGTTTCAAGGACCCTGCACCTAGTACGTTTCCTCTGCCTGTTAATACCAAGACCCCAGAAGGATAAAACCGCTCAGTCTGGTGAACCTATACCACTACATTGCTCCGGTTTTACATTCAAGAACACGGGCCACTCGTCGACCAAAGGAGACACCGAAGCAGCAGAATCAAGGCTAAGAAGTGTTAGTAGAGTTCTCTCAAAACAGGTACGCACGATCGTACATGTCTACTTGGCTTCTCCCATACTCAGTCTGTTTTGCGCTTGATCTTGAAAGTACGAATGCTCGGAACAAGAGGCTGCTAAACCCTTCTGGAACATGGAAGCCCTTAAAACCAACAATGGCGGGCACGAGCCTTGCTTGCAAAGCTAAAGCCCTGAGATTCAACCATGGTGTTTCAGGGTTTCAACTCCGAAAACTGCGTTAGGGTTTCAGGCATTGGGTCATTTGGATTTCGGTCCCATGCAGCCGTCGTGGCGAGAGCATTCCCAAAGCACACGATGCACAAGACCAAGCTGGGAATCCATTTACCTGGGTGTTGAGGGGCCCGGCGGTTTAGGGCAGGTCTTGCATTGTTGGGCTCTCGCGGCATGCAACAGGGTTTCCGACTTTGTCTGCCGGTCTCCCAGCTGGAAGCTTTCTTGTCTCAGGCATCGCACAAGAAGGAACTCACATCGCAAGCTCAGAAAATAACAACACAAGCACAAGCTGTGTCAGGGTCTAATCACGTTTAGGAACACTGAGCAGGCTCACACTTCCTCTCTCATTCTGCGCTCTTTCGTAACCGTTGAGCTAGGAACAGCCTCTACAAGGGAGTCCTTCAGCTCCCAAGTGTCTTCAGCTTCAAAAAAATGCCAGTCTAGAAGGGCTCGTGACGCAGCCTTACTCCAAAGTGCAACCTCCAAGGTGAATGAGGAAAGTCACCCAACAAGATGGCCGCAAGACCAGGGGACCTCTTGGCAAAACTCCTTCCCAAAGCCGAAACCCCCCAAGCCTGTGTTTCGTAAGAAAAGTGAAGTTTAGGAAGTCTAGGACTTAGCGATTCAAAGGCTCAGCATGGGCCGGTGCAACGCTTCCGGCTTAAGCTTTACCGGCATGGCCTCGGGCTGCAGCCTAACGGGGCTCTTCGTTCCACACCATAGGTTACTGCCGGCCAGGCTCCATGTTTTGAGACTCACACCCGGCGCTGTTAGGGTTGAGGGTCTCGAGAAGAGGTAAAGATTTAAGATTCGGAGGGACGAGTGTTAGAGCGGCTGTCCTTCAACATTGAGAGTCTAGATGAGTTGAAGGTGTGCTTGGCTTTCGTCTGTTGGTGGCTGGGCGTTGAGGGATCTGTGGTTAAGGTTAAGACTCTACAGTACGGAGCCATGGCAACGGGCTACGTGCCATCAGAAGCCGTGCTTTTCACCTGCGGCTTTCCATCTACTTTGCAGGGCCACTTTAGGCTGCCTACATCTCGAGTACCCTACACCAGATCTTAGCTCGAATTGCTTCGAGTGCTCACTGGGCTCGACTCTGACTCCGACGGGGACGAGGCGGCACAGCACGGCCTTGCCGGCAGCTTCCTCGGATCTGATTTTTTGCCTCCCACCTAGCTCGGACGTAAATGGGTGCAATGGTTTGCCCAGGAAAGCAACGTGAAGCAACCTAGGACCTAGAATTCAGATAAGCGAGACACAAACATGTGAGAAGACGTACTATGTTCATGCTTCCGTCCATGAGACAAGGAACGAATGCTGCTGGTGCTAATGCTACGAACTCTTATTCCGTCTCCCACCCCACCTCCTACCACTGCTAATACTGATACTAGCGCTACTACTGCTCCTGCGGCCACTGCTGCCACTAGTACTACTACTACTACTACTACTACTACTCCTACTCCTACTCCTACTCCTACTCCTACTCCTACTCCTACTCCTACTCCTACTACTACTACTGCTACTACTACTACTACTACGACAACTGCTACTACTACTGCTACTACCACCACCACTACAACTACTACTATCTACCACTACCACTACCTCTACCCCTACCCCTACCCCTACCCCCACCTCCACCCCCACCTCCACCCCCCGCCCACCACCACCACCACCACCACCACGACCACGACCACGACCACGACCACGACCACGACCACGACCACGACCACGACCACTAGTGCTACTACTACTACTACTACTACTACGACGACGACTACTACCACCACTACAACTACTACTATCTACCACTACCACTACCCCTACCCCCACCTCCACCCCCGCCTCCACCCCCCGCCCACCACCACCACCACCACCACCACCACCACGACCACGACCACGACCACGACCACGACCACGGCCACGACCACGACCACTACCACGACTACTACTACTACTACTACTACTACTACTACGACTACTACTACGACTACCACTACCTACTACCTACTACCTACTACCTACTACCTACTACCTACTACCTACAAC